TCACCCAGGGAAAAAGCTTAAGGGCTGGCCATGCTCCACGAGGCCCCTGCAGGATCCCCCTCGCTCACTGACGTCGCCTCTTCCCAGCCTCCCCCTCGCCCACTCACTGCAGAACATTGGCCTCTTGGGTATTCCTCGAACATCCCAGGCCTGCTCCTGCCTCAGGGCCTTTGCACTAGCTGTTCCTCTGCCTGGACACGCTTCCCCCGGATCTCCACCTGGCTCCTTCCATACCTCCTCATCTTTGTTCAAATGTCCCCTGAGTGAGTCTTTCTCTGACCACCTTATTTAATCCTACAACCCCTTCTCCCTGTTCCCCACTCGCACCCATTCACCCAACCCTTACCCTGTTCTACTTGGTTTTTTTTTAAAGAGACAGGGTCTTGCTCTGTCACCCAGGCTGGAGTGCAGTGGCACAATCATAACCCACTGCAGCCTCAAACTCCTGGGCTCAAGCGATCCTTCTTCCTCAGCCTCCCAAAGTGCTGGGATGACAGGCGTGAGCCACCGCGCCCAGCCGATTCTACTTTAATAGCCATTATTGCCTCCTAACATACTTATATACGCACGTAACGCCGCTTGTTTTTTATGTTTGGTGGTTTACTGCCTGTCCCCACTAGGAAGTGCACCCCTGGGGGGAGCTGTCTCTGTCTTGTCACTGCTGTATGCTCTGAGCCCAGCACGGGGCCTGACACATATGCATAGTAGGGCTCAGTGAATACTCACGGGATGAACGGGTCACACTCCAGCCACAGAGGTGCCTGGCTGTGACAGGCTGGTTCCATCCTGCTTCTGCTAGCTGCCACCTATGTGACCTTGGGTGAGCACTGCGGAGCCTCGCCCACCAGTGACAATGGCTCTGTCATGCCTCACCCAGAGGCTGCTGGTGAAGGTGACATAAGAGCAGAAGAAACACACCTGGATGGCCACTCCTTGTGGGGGGGGCAGCTCCCAGCTCCCTCTGTCTCTTTTTCTTTTTTTTGAGACAGAGTCTCGCTTTGTTGCCCAGGCTAGAGTGAGTGCCGTGGCGTCAGCCTAGCTCACAGCAACCTCAAACTCCTGGGCTCAAGCAATCCTCCTGCCTCAGCCTCCTGAGTAGCTGGGACTACAGGCATGTGCCACCATGCCCGGCTAATTTTTTCTATATATATTAGTTGGCCAATTAGTTTCTTTCTATTTTTAGTAGAGACGGGGTCTCGCTCTTGCTCAGGCTGGTTTTGAACTCCCGACCTCAAGCAATCCGCCCGCCTCGGCCTCCCAGAGTGCTAGGATTACAGGCGTGAGCCACCGCGCCCGGCCCCTCTGCCTGTCTCTATTTCCCCATCCACCACTCTTGCCTCTTCTTAGGAGCCTGGCTTGGGAGGGAGGGCCCTGGCTGGCCCTGCATTAGGCTTGGAGTGGCAGTACTGGGACCAGGGAGGCAGGGGACAGGCAGAGGGTGAAGGCTTGGGTTTGTCTTTTCCAGTGACAGGCCAATGTTTCCAGGCCTGTTGGACTCCCTCCCCATCTCCTCTTTTTGAGGTCAGCCTATTGACATTATTAACACACAATAAATTGCAACCATTAAAGTCGCCAATGGGATGAGTTTCGACAGATGCATACACCGTGAAAAAACACCCCCACAATCAAGAGACATGATATTCCCATCACCCCCAAATTTCCCTGTGCCTCTTTGCAGTCTGCCCCTCCCTCTACCCCCAGGCCTATGCAACCACCGATCTGCTTCTGGTCACCATGAATTAGTCTTTTCCCTTCTAGAATATTACATCGGTGGAATCACAGACCACGTAGCTTTTTGCATCTGGCTGCTTTTACGTAACATAATGCTTTGGGGATTTATTCATTGTTTTGCACATATCAGTGGTTTACTCTTTTTTTTTTTTTCCTTTAACCACTGAGGAGCGTTCTATTGTCTGGATGTACCGCAGTTTGTTGACGGGGTCCAGGTTGGCGTGACTGTGCACAAAGGTGCATTTGTGGACAGGTCTTAACGCACCACTCGCTTTTCAGAGCAAATATTGCATAACACCCAGAGGTGACACAACATATGTACTGCTTGGCAAAGGCAGTGGCCCATGAGACAACACCCTGGACTAGGATCTCCCGTCCCTCCCACTGTGCCAATGTTAACCCTTTGGCTGCTGGGTCAGAGGGAAGTCCGGGGGCTCATGGAATGACCACTGACCAAAAGGCAAATAATCCGTGGCATGTTTTTGTTTTTTAACCACTAGCACGGCCACCCCAGACCATGTGCTGGCTTCAATGTCAGCTCTGGGAAAGTTTTCTTTTTTAATTTAATTCACAAAAAGCACTTGCATGTAACCTGCACATGATTTTAAAGACAATCCTTTATTGCCCTAACTGTCATGAAAAGGAGGAATAAGAGGATAGTAATTGATGAATGCATTTCAATGTGCAAATGTGTGGGGTCACCTTCCTAGAACCCCAGGAGGTAGCCTCACTGTTTACACTTCCCAATGCACGGGGGACCACATGGCATTGGCGTCTAATTACCAACAGCCCGGGAGCAATGTGACCTGGTGGAAGATGGCTGGCCAAGTTTCTAACAGAACACAATACAAACTTCCCTCATTTTTTGCATGGTAGTTGCACTTCCTGGAAGATTCAGAGGCTATTTTACAAATAAAAAGGACTTTGTGTCTACCAGAGAGTGTTGGCTCTGGGCTCAGATAATTACTACCAGGGATTTCACCTCCAACTAAGGCGAAATTTTAGTTGGTCTGAACTAGCATGGAAATGCTATTTAAAATATTGAAATATTTCTATTCTGGATGGTTAATAGTACAAGAGTAGTTGAGAAAGCAGTGAAATTCAAGACATATTCTAATATGAACTTGTTATTTCAAGTTAATTATTGTGACGGGTTTCTTGTCATATAACATAGTTGATAACAAAGATATCAAATATATAAAACCATCAGATAGTATTACAGGGGCTAGAAAAGTTGGGGTATTTTTCTTTTTTGAGAGAGTCTCACTTTGTTGCCTAGGCTAGAGTGTCGTGGCATCAGCCTAGCTCACAGCAACCTCAAAACTCCTGGACTCAAGCGATCCTCCTGCCTCAGCCTCCCAAGTAGCTGGGACTAGAGGTGCACACCACCATGCCCGGGTAATTTTTCTATTTTTAGTAGAGACGAAGTCTCTTGCTCAGACTAGTCTCAAACTCCTGAGCTCAAGCGATCCTCCCACCTTGGCCTCCCAGAGTGCTAGGTTTACAGGTGTGAGCCGCCAAGCCTGGCCGGTAGAAAAGTTTTTAATGTATTTGCTGTTAACTCAGAACAGTGAGGAGAGGAGAAAACCCCAAAACTCTATGGTTAATCCTAAGAGAATCCCACCCATCCAAGTACTAACCAGACCCGACCCTGCTTAGCTTCACGAGCTCGGGTGCGTTCAGGCTGGTATGGCCATAGTGGAGAATTTCCTAATCTATTGAGACTTCAAGTCACCTGATTCTCAATTTAGTGGGAAGTTGCTGGAACCATCTGATATGATTCCCTGTATCAAAATCCAGAGAAGGCAGGATCATCGTTACGAAAGATGGCGACCACCAATCAAGAAATCACATCAGCCAGAGCATGGGAGGGAGATGAGGAATGAAAATTTACCTATCTGGTACCATAAATGCTGGCCTGGTGGTGGGCACGCTGAAAGCCCTGACGTCAGCATTGTAGGGTGTATCCAGGTAACAAAATCATGTGTAACCCCTTAACATTTTGAAATAATTACATAAAAAAAAGAAGGAAATCACATCAACAATTTGTAAACAATGGCCAGGCGCGGTGGCTCACACATATAATCCCAGCACTTTGGGAGGCCAAGGCAAGAAGATTCCTTGAGGCTCTCTGGGCCTCCAAACCAGCCTGGGCAACATAGTGAGACTCTGCTTCCACAAAATATAAAAAAAAATTAGCCAGGCGTGGTGGCCATGCCTGGTAGTCCCAGCTACTCAGGAGGCTGAGGCAGGAGGATCGATTGATCCCAGGAGTTTGAGGCTATGTGAGCTATGAGCACACCACTACTGCACTCTCGTTGGGATAACCAACCTTGTCTAAAAAAACAAAACAATTTCTAAAGACAACAATTTGAGTACAACAATTTGACGATGGGTTGAGTTTCAACTTATATTCTTGGTAAACAACCTGAAGAAATATGTATATAAAGATCACTTGGATTAGAGAAAAGGAATATTTTAAAATTTGATGCATATATTGACACATAATTAATTTATATTATCATACAGGTTGCAAAATATTTTGAATATCTTCTTTCCTCCATGAACGTCTAATAGGACATTTGGAAACGGTATGTGACAAGGGACTGACTTTATTGTGCGGAGGCGCCTGTGCGTTAGGCATCCACATGCCTGGGCCACGCCTTCCAAGAGCCAGGAGCACTGTCCTCTCATGGCGATAACCCAAACCGTCCCCATACACTTCCAGAATGTTCTCTGGGGACCTGACAGTCTCTTTGTGACTCATTTGCGGGTTCAGTGGTTAAAAGCAGAGGCTGAGTTATAAGAAATCAGTCTTTGGATGTCTGAGCTTCAGCAAGTTAGTTTGTCTTGCTGGTCTACGAAGCCTCCTCCTCCAAGAAATATACAATTCTGCAATATTGCCAGTCCCTCAGTTTAGGGGTTCAGAGAGGCAGCAACTTGCCTGAGACTGCAAAAAAAGTAAAGGGCCAAGCCCAGATTCAATCCCAGCCCGACTCTTGACTCCTTTGCCGCAAACCCACTCCCGTGGAATAAACGATCTCACTGCCGGTCTCCCAGATGCAAAGCAGGGGTGCAGAGACACCTTACTGGAGGCCCAAGTTCAGACTGGGAGAAGGGGCAGTGCTGCGGTTGGAAGCCCGTCCTCTCTCACCCCAGAGCCTGCACTTTTTTTAACCTGTTGTCCCTAAAACCAGATGTACACACCTAAGGGTGTGAGCAAAAAGTCACTGGGATGAGGTGAGAAAACATAAAAACGTCTATTCGTATTTACTATTTAAGATGGAATAATTTAAGTGTTATTACTGATATACAGACGGACAGCAATACCCGTACACAATTTATAAATAAATATACACATATTGGGAGCACATACCCTAATACTATTTACTCAGGTGCATGATCAAAAAACGCAGGCTGCCAATGCTTCCACCTGCTAAGTAGCACGGCCTCCCCAGACGCCGTCCTGGGCGCCATCGCTAGAGACGGGCACAGTGGGTAAGTCCAGTGTGGGCTCTGGAGCCTGACCGCCTGGGTTCAAGTCCCCAGTCTGCCACTTCCTAAGCCGTCTGACTTTGGGCGAGTGACTTTACCATTCTGGCCTCAGTTTTCTCATCTGTAAAATGGGAATGCTAGCAGCCGTCTCTGCCGGGCAAGCCGGGAAGCAGGTGCAGAGCTGAAAGAATGAGGTAATAACAAGGGGTGGAGCCCGGATCCACCACCTGTTTGTGACCAGATCGCACCTCAGAGTTGAGCCGGTTTTCTCTGCAAGGTGAGTTAAGAGCAGCACGCACCTCACAGAGCTCTCCCAGGAGGGAAGGAGGTCGCCTTCCGGAAGAAGAGGAGATAGTCATCGCGGTGCCGCCTCCCACAGGGGACTGAAGTCCAAAGACTCAAAAGACGCGATGGCGCAGACGCGCCCTCTAGTGGCGCAAGGGATCCCAGCAGGCAAAGGTCCCGGGGGCTCATTCGGTGCCCGGAGGCCACCAGGTGAGCACAGAGAACTGGGACACCAACCCCAGGCCCACCTAACTAGTAAGGGGTAGAGCTGGGGTTTCAATCTCGCCAGTCTGGCCCCGGAGCCTACACTCTTTGCTTTCCAAAACTCTGCCCTAGCTCCAGAGCGCAGGGCACTTGGAATCTTGGGCAGGGTCCTGTGTGGCCTGGGACTATGCTGGGCCTTGCAGGGCGGCCTGGATCGCTGGCTCCTTCAATTACCAGGACGCGTGCACACATCCGTCGCTCACGGCGGGCGGGGCTGGAGACGCTCTGGGTGTCGCTTCCCACCATCTTTGGCCAGCTTCCCTCCTGCCCAAGCCAAGCTTCCGTCGTGCGCCTCCTCTAATTTCTTCCTTTCTCGCTGACTCTCCCAACCCTCCGCAGCACATCCCCCTCAGCCCCGATCGCCCACACCAAGCTGCTCCACATCCAGACTCCCCCAAACACAGGACTGTCCCCTGGGCCCCAGGCGAGGGCAGCAGGACTTCAGCCGCTTCCCGTCAAACTCAGGAGTGCCGGGTTGGGGTACTCTGGGTTCTCGATGACCCCAGGGCCAAACTTGAGCTCCAGGAAGCGACGGTAGTTGTTAGGCGCCTGCGCCACGAAGCCGGCGAAGGGCAGAGGCACCAGGGGCTGCAGGAAGTGCTCCGGGAACTCCACGTCTTGCCGGTGGTCTAGCCACGTGTCCTTGGTCATGACCCCGTTGCGGGGGTAGAAGGGCCACAGGTCCACATGCAGGTGGTTGCTCTCGCTGTACTGCACGCGGAAGAAGTCCCCCTCCACGGCCTTCTCCCACACGAAGCCGCGCTCGTCCACCACCGAGCCGGCCTCTGCTCCCCGCAGCTGCTCGCAGTTGCCCACGTCCTCCAAGTAGATGCCCAGGTCCACGTCGTAGTCCCACGGGATGATGTCCCCGTGGCGGGCCGCCCCCAGCAGCGAGCCGCCCTCCAGCCAGTAGCGCACCCCCGCCGCCTCCAGCACCCCCACCACGTAACGGGCGGTCTCGCGCAGCGCGCGCAGGCAGCAGGGCGGCGTCCAACGCCCTTCGTACAGGTAGGCCGGGGTGTCGCCCACCACTGTGCCGAAGCAGCGCGTGGTCTCCTTGCTGCAGCCGAACCACTCGAGCCGCCCGCCCTCCCAGCTCACCAGGCGGATGCCCAGCGCGTGGAGCAGCGCCGCGCGCCGAGTGCGCCCCTCGCGCTCCGCCTTCCAGCGCGCGTGCGCCGTGGCGAGCGGGGGCTGGCGCGCCGCGGCGAAGGGCAGGTCCAGCAGCTGCACCGCCCAGCCGCGAAGGGCCGTCTGCAGGAACAGGCCGGCGCCCACCGGCCGGGCCAGCGGCGCCGAGAGGTTGAAGAGGTCGCGTGCGCGCAGGAGCACCACGGCGTCCCCGTCCAGGGCGTCGCAGCGGGACGCGGTGGGTACCTGACCATAGCGGGCGGTCCACTCTCGCACGCTGACGTTCAGGGCCAGGCACCTGGCTGGGTTGGCTGTGGCCACCGGCGCGGCCACCAGGCGTGCGCTTCCCGCTCGCAGCGCCTCCACCATGCGGTCCAGCTGGCCCGGTGCCTCGGCCCGCGCCCCATCAGGCACCAGGGCCACGAACTCGGTGGCCACGTAGGTCTCCGGGCGTGAGGCTGCAGCGGGCCGGTCCAGGGCGGGCTGCAGCAGCGCCAGGCGAACATTGGGGATGCGGGGCAGGGCCAGCGGCGGGTAGGGGAGCGCGTCGGCCACCACCACCACGGGCTGGGCTGGGTCCTGCTGCAGGAAGGAGTCCACTAGTTCGGGCACAGCGTTGTCAAAAGCCTCGAACTCCCGCACTAGGATGGTGACACGGGGCCCAGCGGCAGATGAACGGCGAGGGGCCCGGGCGCGGGCGTGCCGGGGCTGGTGCTGCAGCCATGAGACATAGAAGAGGACCAGCAGGTTGAGTGTGATGGCGGCTGCCAGGGCAGCCTGGCAGCGGGTGAGCCGCATGGGGCCCGGGTCAGGCCCTAGCTGGGCCTCCGAGGCATCCTGGGGAAGAGGGATGAGAGCAAAGCCGGAGCTGGTTGTCAGAACCGCCTCCCTTGCCCCACCCAGCCTTGCCCTGCGTCCCCAGTTCCTTCTCAGTTCCCCTTCTTTTCCCTATTTGGTGTCAACTCAGATTTCCTCTCCTCCAGGAAGCCTTCCCTGACCTCCCAGGCTGGGCCATGCACCCCCTCTGGGCTTCCTCAGCCCCCCACTCCAGCCTGACCACTCTAAGTCATCACTGAGTGTGAGACCCATGAGCGGGTCTTGGTCACTTGCTGGCTCCTCAATGCCCACGAAGCACAGAGCCAGGCATGCATCAGGTGCTCGATAAGTTTTTTTCAGTTGAATCACCTTTCCTTCCACGTGATCCCACCCTTCTCTGTGTACTTGCCATTCAGATGCCAGCTCAGTTATAAATACCCTAACCCCATTCCCAACCCAGCTTGCAATTTCCTCTCTACTGTTCGCTCCTCTAGGAAGCCCCCCTGAACTCTCCCTGTCTTCTTCCCTTTGCTCCCTCACCCTGGCCCAGGGTGAGGCTGATGCTGCAGCCCCCAAGCATTACCCCACAAGCCTGTGCCATCTGGTCATCTCCCTGACCCTGGCTGGAGCGCGTGGCGTCATCATAGCTCACTGCAGCCTCCAACTCCTGGGCTTAAGCCTCCTGAGTAGCTGGGACTACAGGCATGCACCACCATGCCCAGCTAATTTTTAAAATTTTTGTAAAGATGGGGTCTTGCTATTGCCCAAGCTGGCCAATTTTTAAATGTTGTCCACTAATTCAATTAATTTTTTTTTTTTTTTTTTTTTTGAGACAGAGTCTCGCTTTGTTGTCCAGGCTAGAGTGAGTGCCGTGGCGTCAGCCTAGCTCACAGCAACCTCAAACTCCTGGGCTCAAGCAATCCTCCTGCCTCAGCCTCCCAAGTAGCTGGGACTACAGGCATTCGCCACCATGCCCGGCTAATTTTTTGTATATATATTAGTTGGCCAATTAATTTCTTTCTATTTATAGTAGAGACGGGGTCTCGCTCTTGCTCAGGCTGGTTTCGAACTCCTGACCTCGAGCAATCCGCCCGCCTCGGCCTCCCAGAGAGCTAGGATTACAGGCGTGAGCCACCGCGCCCGGCCCAATTAATTTTTTTAAATGGAGTGGGTCAAACTCATAGGAACAGCAGTTAGAATGTGGGTGCCAGGGGCCGTGGGTAGGGGGAATGGGGAGCTGTTTGATGGGTACTGAAGATCAGTTTTGCAAGATGAAAAAGTTCTGGAGATTTATTTGCACAACAATTTTAATGCACCTGACACTACTGAACTGTGTACTTACAAATAGTTAAGATGATACATTTTATGTAATATGTATTTTGTTACAATTAAAAAAAAACTTTTTAACTGGAATGCAACCTTCTAGATACTGCCTGCCAGCTTTAGGGCAGCCACTCCCTGTCTATTCATTGGCCACCCTCCCTAGCAAGCCCCAGATGGCGCTGTCTCCCTGTCCCAATCACAGGCTTTGAAGACTTGGCTTGTCTCCAGAACAGGTGGTTCCCAGCAGGTACTCAAAAGTTTCCCTATTAAGGATTCCTATAGGTTTCTGCCCTTCTCAGAGAGAGGACATCCAGCTAATCTTCCTACCTCCTAAATACTTCTGACCCCTCCTCCCCATTTCTGTATGTTCTGTATGTTCTGTAGTTCCCCCTTCAACCCAGGTCCACCCAGGTTCCTGCTCAACCTCCCCCTCGTCTCCTGCCCCAGTACCCTCTTCATGGTAGCCACAGGGGTCTAAAGCACAAACATGACCTCTCCCTTCCCTGCTCAGATCTTGCCATGGCTCCCCAAGAAAAGTTTAAGTTTCTTACAACATTCCACTTGCCTGCCCACCGTTCGAGCCCATCTTTTGTTATGCCTTCCTCAAACTCTATGCCTAAGTCACCCTGACCTTTCTTTCAGACAGGTCACTTATTTCTAAATGACTGCACATTCTATTCCTTCTGTCTAGAAGAGTCTCCTCTTAAGGATGCTTTCTTTCCATACTTCTTCTCCTGGAGAACACCTACTTATGCGTGAGGCCTCAGCTCAGACACCCCCTCCAGGAAGCCCTTCCTGAATCCCTCTAGGGTCCCCCAGCCCTGCCCATTTTGGTCCATCAGATGGGGATGGATGTGTCTGCCTGCTAGGCTGTGAGCCCTGGGAGGGCAGACCCAGGGCTTTCTTGATCAGCGCTATACCCCCAGCGCTGCTGAGAATACACTTGGCAAAAAAAAAAAAAAAAAAAAAAAGATATAGACTGGGGCTGGAGAATTTGCTTGGTAGCTTACTCAACTTGGTAGCTCACTCAACTTGGTAGGAAGTTTCAGTTCCTTGCTAGGAGATCCACACCATGGGCTTGCTCATGGCATGACATGGCTTGCTCCAGAGTGAGTGATCCAAGAATGAGAGAGAACATGCCCAAAGAGGAAGGCACAGTCAGTGTGGTTTATAACAATATCAGAAGTGACATTATCACCTTTACCATATTGTATTGATTACATATTCTGCTGGTACAGTATGGTAGGGGACTACACAGGGTGTGAATGCTAGGAAGCTAATGTAGTCATTGGGGACCATCTTGGAGTCTGGCTACCATAACAGGCAAACTGGATCTCTGCCATTTAGCTGCAATGAGTAGGAGTATTAGTTTCATTTTCCCTCTTCTTATCCCTTTTCCTTTTCTTAGCTAGGGATGAGTGGCTCTTCTATGTGAGCTATGAAGCACCACTGCTGCACTCTATTGGGATAACCAACCTGTCTAAAAAAACAAAACAATTTCTAAAGACAACAATTTGAGTACAACAATTTGACGATGGGTTGAGTTTCAACTTATATTCTTGGTAAACAACCTGGAGAAATATGTATATAAAGGTAAGATCACTTGGATTAGAAAAAGGAATATTTTAAAATTTGATGCATATATTGACACATAATTAATCTTATATTATCATACAGGTTGCAAATATTTTGAATATCTTCTTTCCTCCATGAACGTCTAATAGGACATTTGGAAACGGTATGTGACAAGGGACTGACTTATTTGTGCGGAGGCGCCTGTGCGTAGGCATCCACATGCCTGGGCCACGCCTTCCAAGAGCCAGGAGCACTGTCCTCTCATGGCGATAACCCAAACCGTCCCCATACACTTCCAGAATGTTCTCTGGGGACCTGACAGTCTCTTTGTGACCCATTTGCGGGTTCAGTGGTTAAAAGCAGAGGCTGAGTTATAAGAAATCAGTCTTTGGATGTTTAGCTTCAGCAAGTTAGTTTGTCTTGCTGGGTCTACAAAGCCTCCTCCTCCAAGAAATATACAATTCTGCAATATTGCCAGTCCCTCAGTTTAGGGGTTCAGAGAGCAGCAACTTGCCTGAGACTGCAAAAAAAGTAAAGGGCCAAGCCCAGATTCAATCCCAGCCGACTCTTGCCTCCTTGCACAAACCCACTCCCGTGGAATAAACGATCTCACTGCCGGTCTCCCAGATGCAAAGCAGGGTGCAGAGACACCTTACTGGAGGCCCAAGTTCAGACTGGGAGAAGTGGCAGTGCTGCGGTTGGAAGCCCGTCCCCTCTCACCCCAGAGCCTGCACTTTTTTTAACCTGTTTCCTAAAACCGATGTACACACCTAAGGGTGTGGCAAAAAGTCACTGGGATGAGGTGAGAAAACATAAAAACGTCTATTCATATTTACTATTTAAGATGGAATAATTTAAGTGTTATTACTGATATACAGACGGACAGCAATACCCCGTACACAATTTATAAATAAATATACACATATTGGGAGCACATACTCAGGTGCATGATCAAAAAGGCAGGCTGCCAATGCTTCCACCTGCTAAGTAGCACGCCTCCCCAGAGCCTCCTGGGGCGCCATCGCTAGAGACTGGCACAGTGGGTAAGTCGAGTGTGGGCTCTGGAGCCTGACCACCTGGGTTCAAGTCCCCAGTCTGCCACTTCCTAAAGCCGTCTGACTTTGGGCGAGTGACTTTACCTTCTGGCCTCAGTTTTCTCATCTGTAAAATGGGAATGCTAGCAGCCGTCTCTGCCGTGCAAGCCGGGAAGCAGGTGCAGAGCTGAAAGAATGAGGTAATAACAAGGGGTGGAGCCCGGATCCACCACCGTTTGTGACCAGATCGCACCTCAGAGTTGAGCCGGTTTTCTCCGCAAGGTGAGTTAAGAGCAGCACGCACCTCACAGAGCTCTCCCAGGAGGGAAGGAGGTCGCCTTCCGGAAGAAGAGAGATAGTCATCTGCGTGCCGCCTCCCACAGGGACTGAAGTCCAAGACTCAAAAGACGCGATGGCGCAGACGCGCCTCTAGTGGCGCAAGGGATCCCAGCAGGCAAAGGTCCCGGGGGCTCATTCGGTGCCGGAGGCCACCAGGTGAGCACAGAGAACTGGGACACCAACCCAGGCCCACCTAACTAGTAAGGGGTAGAGCTGGGGTTTCAATCTCGCCAGTCCCTGGGAGCCTACACTCTTTGCTTTCCAAAACTCTGCCCTAGCTCCAGAGCGCAGGGCACTTGGAATCTTGGGCAGGTCCTGTGTGGCCTGGGACTATGCTGGGCCTTGCAGGGCGGCCTGGATCGCTGGCTCCTTCAATTACCAGGACGCGTGCACACATCCGTCGCTCACGGCGGGCGGGGCTGGAGACGCTCTGGTGTCGCTTCCCACCATCTTGGCCAGCTTCCCTCCTGCCCAAGCCAAGCTTCCGTCGTGCGCCTCCTCTAATTTCTTCCTTTCTCGCTGACTCTCCCAACCCTCCGCAGCACATCCCCTCAGCCCGATCGCCACACCAAGCTGCTCCACATCCAGACTCCCCCAAACACAGGCTGTCCCTGGGCCCCAGGCGAGGCAGCAGGACTTCAGCGCTTCCAGTCAAACTCAGGAGTGCCGGGTTGGGGTACTCTGGGTTCTCGATGACCCAGGGCCGAACTTGAGCTCCAGGAAGCGACGGTAGTTGTTAGGCGCCTGCGC